TCAGTAGACCTCAGAAGAACCATGAAGGAAAGTCCTTCACAGTTATTTGTTGGATGATTTTTTCATATTTTCTATAATAAAATAAAATCCTGTCTTATCTTTAAGGCAGCCTCTTATGGTCTTAATAATTTTAAATATTGATTTGCTAAAAATGATGAAAATAAAGTTCCTTTAGTAACTGAAAAAAAGTGATGAAAACATCAAAATCTTTGACAAAATGAAAATGTCTAAGCAATGGATTTGATGCAACTTAATATCTTTAGAGTAGGTTTATTAAAATTAATGGATTTAGAAGAGTCATAGTTAATTGAAGTTCAGTTGTTTATTCTAAATCTGGATCAAAGTATTTTTTTGCTCTTCATATCTAAATACTTTACAGGATCTTTCTTGAAATGTTTTATTGATAATTTCTTTCTGTTGTGGTTTATATGTCATGATAACATTAAGAAAACAAGTTCAGAAGTTCACACCATGTGTTCAGATCTGCCTTATTCCTATTGTATAATTTTTTTGTTCACAAGAGTGTAGCAAACAGAAAATATTTGGCAAAAATATTCAGACAGGAAATGTTAAACTAAAACACAAGACATTTAACTCATACACTCCCATATTCCCTCTTCTAGTCCTTTAGCTTACTTCAGTAGACATTCAAAAATAACTGTATTTTAAAACTGTTAGTTTGTATAATATGGCCTCATGACTGAGTTATCCATATTAAGTGAAGTGATTTTTGGTTGCATGGGCAGCCAGATGTTTTGATTCGATCTGGCATTTTTATCCATCTATCAACCCGTGATAAGCATATGTTGTCTGATAGTGTTAAAGATATTGTCAAGGGTGTAAGCTGTTGCAAGTAAAGCTGCCTTTTGCAATTGACTCATGGTGATTTTGTCATTGCTGATGGTGTTCAAGAAGTGTTGCAGATGTTATGAGATTGCAGCCAAGGCACATATGTATGTTTATGCATATGTGTGTATATGTGTTTGTGGATGTATATAGTGTGTGTGTTACACACCCACACCCACACACAGAGCTTTCCCTTGCCACAGTTGTTCCATTTCTATTTGCAGGTCATTGTATTTTCTGTTTCTCTTTTTCTTTTATTCTGCTTTCTCCAGGAACTGCAATGTCCACTATCCAAACTTTATGTTTCTTATTGGCAATCGTTAAGTCTGGGGTGTAATGTTCCAGGTGCTTATCTGCCTGAATTCTAAAGTCCCAGAGCGCTTTTCATTGTCTATTACTTTTGTGTAATTTATAATCCTATCAGTTCTTGCTTGCTGATATTTCAATGTACCATTGTTGATATTTTGACATGCCCTTACTTGTAGTCAGCCTGTGTGATCTTTTTGTAGCAGGTAACTACGTTGTCCACTGCAACAATGTCTATTCAGCAATGTTTAGTCTGAAGACAGCAGAAGAGTTTTTCAACTGGTACGCCAATATTACAATACCATATTTTTCATATCCAGGATCAAGAATTTGGATCCTTAATCCTATATATAGTATCTTTATACATAGAGATTTTATATATATAAGTGAACTCTCTACTTACAGTTATAATAAATTATTGGATTCACAGACTGTGACAAATGCTATGTAGTTTGTTTGATTATGTGAAGGCAAGCATAAAATGATGGCATATTGCTTAGTTTAATGCATAAATTCAGTCAGTTGGGATTATAATCCTAATTATGTCTAAAAGAAAGCATAACTTCCCACAGTGTGTGAATCCAGCCAATAGAAACTTAGGCCTGGCAATATAATCTCAACTATACTTCTTCTTCAACAGGGTTTGATAGCAGAAGTGGAAAACCACCTGAAAGTGTCTAAGCAGATTAGTCAGAATCCCATTGGATACTGGCAGGCTCTTAAATATACATTCATAGGGAACGTCTTATACAGATCAAAGGCTATAACAAGCTTCGGGGGTCACATTCCCAAAATAAATGGAGAATATTCACATCAATCTAAGTTTAAAACTGCAGAGCAAAATAGATAGAAGTAGTTCAAGAAGCTTTCAGTACCAGTCATGCCTGAAACCCCAGATTTTTTCAGAGAGCATAGATGTCCAAGCAGGATGCTTAGGAGATCTGCTGAATCACCAGTTCTCTTGGGAAATTTAGATAAGAGAACATGCTGGAGATTTGGCAACTTTCCTTCTCACACAGGCCAACAGTGTGCTGGGAAAGATTCTAAGCAGATGCAGTCCCATGACTGTCATGAAAAGTTTTATAAGGATTTATTTCAAAGCTTGCTATCTTTAAATAAAAAAATTGAAAATATCTTACTCCAGTTTTTCCTCATCCATGCAAAAGTAAATATATTATAGTAAGTAATGTTTCACATTAAGCAGAAGGAAAGTTACTGGAACAGGCATTAGACTTTATCAAAAACAGCTATTTTATTGTGCTTTTTGCTCTTTGTTTTTATAACCATAAAATCTTCCAAAAATTACAGAATCTTGAGATATCTTACAGACTGACAGAAAATAATAATTGCCTACATTTTCATGGAATAGGATTTCCTTCATCCCCAACTTTATGTCTCCATTTTCACTTCAAACAGCCACCATAGATAAGCATTGAAACATTCATTTCAGCAGTTTGTTCAGTAGACTCAGCACCAAGAACTTGAATATTATCAGATCACTACATAAGCAGTTATTCATTTGAAAGCATCATCATTAATAATTTGGGAAGAAAATGCAGTTATATGAATTATAACTAACTCTGTTCAGTGACTAGCTATTTGCTTGAAGTTGCTGTACATATTTTTTTGTTCTTTCTACTTGTGTTATGCAGTCCTTTAACTAATCCTTTGTTTTACACATTTGAATACATTTCCTACTCATCAGCCTCTTGTGGATTTCGGATACTCAGTTCTCCTTCTGCTAATTCTGCTGATACTTTGTAAGAAATGATCATGATTGCTGTTAAACGATTACTTGAGTTCATGAAACTGGTGTGATGAAAGGGTTATGAGGTTCTATCAAGAACCTCAACTTCAAGTCTACCTTCTGTCACAAAAATTCACTGTCCAGTTTCTTAGCTTGAATACCACATGTGCTCTTGTGCAGATAAAACTGAAAGAAGCAATGATAACTGTATAGGAGCTCTTGGAGGAAAGGTGAAATATTACTGAACAATCAATGAAAGCAAGAAAGGGCTAACAAAGGAAGCTGATGTGAGACTTAAAAGGAACCACCATATGCAGAGGCACCATATCATTAAAAATCACTTGCAAAAAAAAGAAAAAAGAAAAAGAAAGAGCATAAATGATAGGCAACTCCTTATGTCCTGCTGGACTATATAGATTCAGTTTGAGTCAGCAGGACAGTTTTTATATTTGCAGCGATATCAACTATAGATATCTACTAACCAACCATCCCTAATCTTTGCATACAATGAATGTAGCTTCCACTCTGATAAGAATGCATCATTAAATCCATGTTGAAAGAGACACTGCTTTTTCTTTTTTTTTAATCCACTGGATTTCAGCCAGCAATGTCTTTCAATACTTTTAATGCAGGCTATCAGCTTTGCATTGCTTTCGTCCTACAACTGTGCCCATTCTGTTAATTTCTATAGTGCATTTTCCTGTGTCACTAGGTGGCAGAATTCCATTATCACAGCTGTGTTCAAACTATAATTACATTCAAAATAGAAAGCTCTTTTATATTGGTTTTTCAAAAGAAAATTTACTTCCAGAGTATGAAATAATTAATGATAACATTCTTTTGATATTGATTTCATTAACCACTTATTGTCAAAGTACCAACAGAATTTGCTGTTGGTCTTTAAAGATAGAGGAAGAACATGAAAGACAACTGGTCCTTGACTGAAAAAAGGTAGTTGCTATAAACTTTATTTTATTTTATTTTCAATACTAAATACTGATATAAAATGGTTCAACAAAATATTACAGTAAACTTTGGCAGTCCTCCAACTACTATAATATATCATATTCATGAATCAATGAAAAGACAATGAAAACGTCTCCTTATTCCTTATTTGTTTCTTAATAAAAGCAAGCTGTATAATAAAAATAAATTTCACCGAATCAAAGTATTTGGATCTGTATATATGCACAGGAGATATATGCATCTCTTGCTTGAATATGCAGAACTAATATGCTGAGTTTTACTTGGTTGTGCAAAATGCAGAGCTGTTGATTCCTAAATTCAAAATTATGGCTTTTTTTAAATGTAAAATGATCCTGCATTATGACCTAGACTTGACATATCCAATGTTAGTCACACCTCAAAAGCTTTGCAAAGGTTATATTTTAGAAAGCTAAGATATTCATTAAAATCTGTTGTTGTTCCATTCTTTTGATATTAGTACACTGATTTCATTAACTACTTATTGTCAATATTTTTTTAAAAAAACAATAATATTGGTTTTGGTTATGCTATTGGAGGATTTTAAAGCAATTAGTTAGAATACTCATATACTTATTATTTTGCTTTCACCTATAAAATACATACCAATTTGTCATCAACAATATTTTAACATTGTCAGTTTGCATAAAATGAGACAATAGCCTCATGACTGAGTTGTCCAAACTAAGTGAAAGGTTAGGTGCAATTTTCCCCTTGCAGCCGTAAGTTTACTTCTTTGCCAAAACTGGAAGAAAAAATATCACAAATCTCTCATCAAATGAGGTTCTGCTCATTCAAAATCTAGTGCAGAGTGTCCTTTCAATGCCATTCAACAAGTTCAACAGAAGTTAAAATTAATCATCATTTCACAAGATATACACACACACACATAAGGGGAATCTCTTTGTACTTTCCAAGGTATCAAGGTAGGAATATTTTAAAATGATAATTTTCTTAAAAACTGCATCTGATAATACATTTGAGGAAGTTCTGTAAGTACTCCAAGTGTTCTCTCAAATATACTAAACTTAACTTTTATTTCCTTCTCTTTCTCTACACACATGTACAAATACATACTCTGATTAAAACAGAAAGGGAGATACTCTTATTTTCTTACCTTGGCAATCTTCAAAGGCTGCTTTTCTTCTTTGCCACCCTGAAGTCTGAAACCCCAAGGTGCCCCTCCAGTCATAGTGATGCAAATATAATCCTGTACACCCATTATCTTTCTGGGAAAATCAGTCAATGTTCATTAAAAAAAAACAAACGTATCTCTAAAAAATCCTGCAGCTGGAGATTTGCAGCTGGACTTTGCCTTCTAGATGGTGTTAGAGAGGAGAGACAGGATCACTGCTGTTGGCATTGCCTGCGTTCTGCACTTGGTTAACACAATCATTGACTGAGAGCAAGGAAGCGCTCCCAGTCCAAGGGCTCAGCCCACTTTTTCGTCAGATTTGCTGTGTTCAGCCCACCTTCGTGGTAATGTCAGAGGAACACAAATGAAAAGCACTCGGCTGTGAGGCAAAAAAAAGGCTATATTTAAATCTACGAGCATTTGCCTGTGACAGCTAAATCAAAACAGCCAGGTCAAAGGACTTGTTAATCTCCCTGCAATGATTTAAGACAGAGAGTTTACTTTTGTAAGTGGTACCAGACTTGTTAAGCTATAGTTGCAACACATTCTGTGTTCTTATAACCCAAACAAAGTGTAGGAGGAGAAGAGGAAAAAAGTTGTCTTCCTCCCCAGTTCTTCATCAGATACTAGCATGAAGCATCCCACTGAGAATTACCCACAGACCCGCTGTGATAGGATGTTTACAATTATCAAATGATAGCCTGAGTTTTTGACATATGCCTGGTTCTTTCTGGCATAAATTTTCCAGTGCCTGGATTCACACCCCACATGTTAAGCCATGGTATGTTCAAGCGATTGGCTGGTTTTGAACTATGAACTAAACAATAACTGATGTTTTACAAAACTCAATTCAATCTAGTAAATCAAAACCAAAGAAGTATGTTGTATGAGTCGGGCATATATGTTCTTTTTCCCATTGTTATGTGTAAAAGCTACATTTTGTATTTGCTCCCTTAAAAAAAAAAAAAAAAAGCAAACAGCAAGACTTAACTTTTACATTTTAATGCAAATGGAGGAAGATCACTTTCATATTAAAGGAGGTAATGATTCAAATGACTGAAGATCATACCTGTGGCCATTCAGATCTGCCACTCACAGCAGCATGAGAGAGAAGTAGAAATGGTGAATTATGCTGGAAATGTTGGTTCAGAATTTAATAAGGATGAAATAAAATCTGGGGGAACCTCAAGATTGAAATTAAGATTAATGGACAGGAATTTATACCCATTCCTCAATTCTTGTGGCAAGTCCATATTCTCACCTGATGCAAATACATAAACTGTGATGTCACCATGCACATTTTGTGTTTTTTTAAACAACACAGTTACTAATGGACATTTATTTTTGGAGACTTGAATTGCTTCAATATTTATTGGAAGACAAATGGCCAAGCATGATCATGCCAGGAAATTCTTAACTTATGTTACTGACAAGTTTTTTCCTTTGGAGGAAAAAGGAAGTAACAGGGGAATCACTTGATTTGATAATAATCAATAGCAAAGACTTCATTGAGGAAGTAGAAATAGCAGGAATTTTGTAAGAAACTTGTTAGGTAATGCTAAAAAGAATGTAAAAAGAAGGTCAAGATCAGAGATCTTCAAACTTGGCAGCTTTAAGACTTGTGGACTTCAACTCCCAGAATTCTCCAGCAAGCATAGCTGGCTGGAGAATTCTGGGGGTTGAAGTCCACAAATCAGTTGAAGTCCTGGTCAAGATGAATAAATTACAAAAAATGGTGGGGGATGAGGAGGAAGAAGAGAAAGAGATGCTAAAACTACAACTGTAAACAAACTGAATGAAAGAAAAGGTGGAAAACAACAGGAAAAACCAATATAGTTGGAAAATTAAAACGAAGATCTTTTTTAAAATACTTATTTTTAAAAGTTTGAGTTTGAGTTTGAGTTTATTTAGATTGATATACCGCCCTACTCCCGAAGGACTCAGGGCGGTAAACAGCCAAAGATAAAACAGATACAGTATAAAATTTAAAAAATAAGTTAAAAACATATTAAATAAATTTGGCCCATACTAATTAAAACACCCCTGTTTTTAAAAAACAAATTAAAATTAAAATTAAACAATTAAAAAGAGTTAGGCCAGCCCCGCTTGTTGGAATAAAAAAGTCTTGAGGGCATGGCAGAAAGTGCGTAAATCCGGGATCCTCCATATCTCCGGGGGGGGAGGAGCTCGTTCCAAAGGACGGGTGCCCCCACAGAGAAGGCTCTCCCCCTGGGGGCTGCCAGTCGATACTGTTTGGCCGATGGCACCCTGAGGAGCCCCTCTCTGTGGGAGCGTACTGGCCGGTGAGAGGCTACCGGTGGCAGAAGGCGGTCTCGTAAGTACCCAGGTCCTAAGCCATGGAGCGCTCTAAAGGTGGTAACCAATACCTTGAAGAGCACTGGGAGCCAGTGCAGCTCGGGCAGGAGAGGTGTTACATGGGAACGCTATGTCGCTCCCATAACCACCTGCATGGCCGCATTCTGGACCAGTTGGAGTTTCCGGGTGCTCCTCAAGGGGAGCCCCATGTAGAAAGAATTATAGTAGTCCAGGCGGGAAGTGACGAAGGCGTGAGTGACCGTGCATAAGGAGTCCCGATCCAGAAAGGGATGCAACTGGTGAATCAGGCGAACCTGATAGAAAGTGCTCCTGGCCACAGCCGTCAGATGCTCTTCTAAAGACAGCCGTGTATCCAGGAGGACACCCAAGTTGTGAGCCCTCTCCGTGGGGGCCAACGACTCGCCCCCAATAGTCAGTGATGGCACCAACTGACTATATCGGGACGCCGGAAACCACAGCCACTCGGTCTTGGACGGGTTGAGCCTGAGTCTGTTTCTCCCCATCCAGATCCACACGGCCTCCAGGCACATATGTAACTTGAAAAGGTGGACATATTACCCTATACAGTTAATGAAGAACAACAAATATGGTGTAAGGAAAGCTCAGAATGGCAGAGACTGAAAACAGTTACAAAAAGTGCTATGTTCAAAATAAAAAGCCTGGATGGCATAACCATGAAATTGCTACGTAGTTGGCTCAAGAATCATATAAAGATATCAGTGGTTCCATATTAAATGGAGATGCTGATTAGGCCCTGCAAGCTAAATCCTAAATCCTCTGCTCTTCACTATTTTTATTAATGGCATGAAACAAGAGATGGACCATTTACCAAATCTGCCAATGACACAACATTGGATAAGATAGACAATACCTTAGAAGATTAAAAAAAAACCCAATCTTGATTAAGAAATAAGACAAAGGTATTTAAGAGAAACAAAAGCAATAAAATGAAATTCATAGATATAGAATGGGAGTGGGGATCCTGATCCTGGCTAGGTATATATTCCTGAAAAAGTCTTGGAATACTTGTGGGGTTGTGAAGTCAGCAAATCAGCAGTATAGCTAATTCCAAAAACTTGAACACAAGTATAGTTTCCAAATCACATTAAGTAATGCTTCCACTTTATTCTACAATGGTCAAACCTGACCTTGGTTATTTTTTCCAGTTCTCAGCATCAATTTTTAAAAAGTTTCAGATAAAGTAGAATAGTTTCAGAGAAGAGTAATGAGGATGATGACAGGACCAGAAACTAAAGCCTGTGAAAACAGAGGGGAAAAAAATGGGAATGTCAAACTTTCTCAGTCTTGAGAAAAGAAGAGAGAAAATATAAATATCTGAAGAAGAAATGTCATATTAGAAAATCAAGACCTGGCTTCTATTATTTCATAATGGAGGACACAAAGTAATTGTTTCAAGTTACAGGTAGGCAATTCTGATAAATTTTAGAAAAAAACATCCTAACAAGTGATGGGTACAAACTGTAGGTACAAATTCAGTGGATATACTGAAGGGGAAGCTAGACAAATATGTTGGGGATATAAATGTCATGATGCAGATAAAAATAAGATCTAAATAAAAATGGTTGAGAACCATATTTTTGGTTAGCATTTTAGTTTTAGATTTATTTAGTTTGAACCCTGCCACCTCTCCATACTTACCGAGTTCTTCCAAAATTTGGGCGCCTGTTTCCAAAGACCAGAAGAAAGTGTTGGAGGAGTCAATGGGGATACAAGTTGTTAAGAAGGTAAAATATCTGGGAGTATGGATTTCAACAAAGTGCTCGGCCCTTAAAGAGGATAATTATGTACCCCTGGTCAAAAATATTAAACAAGATTTAGAAAAGTGGTAGAAGCTCCAGATATTCTTTTTAGGAAGAATTGCAGCAATCAAAATAAGCGTGCTACCCAAGTTGCTGTATTTATTTCAAACTGCTCCAGTCAAATTAGATAGGAAATTTTTTCGGGAATTTAATTCTACTATTAGGAAATTTATTTGGGGAAGGAAGAAACCGAGGATTGCAATCAGGAATCTACGAGACAAAAAAGGACAGGGGTGGTTTTGGACTTCCAATCTGGGAAACTTATCATAAAGCAGCAAACTTAGTATGGTTAAAAGAGTGGGTAACTCTGGGAAATAAAAGAATCCTGACATTGGAAGGGCATGACCTCCAGAAGGGTTGGCATGCTTATCTTTGGGAAACAGGGAAAAGAACAAGAACTTATTTCCACAAACATAAAATAAGGGACCCGTTAATGTCAACATAGGGAGAAATAAGACAAAAACAATATACTAAAATTCCCAGATGGCTATCCACGATGGAGGCAATAATATACCCCAATGTTTTGGAACTGGGCAAAATTGTAAAATATAAAGAGATACTAGATGGGGCAGGAAACCTCAAAACAATGGAAGAATTGAAAGAACAGGGCACCCACATAGAATGGTGGACATATGCACAAATTAAATCGCGATATAAAAAAGACATAGAAGAATATGGCATAGAGATAGGCATCAATGGTTTTGACAAGGTATGGATGGGTACGGATAATAAATTATTGACTAAATTGTATAACTATCTGGTAGAGTATGACTTGATAGAGGAGGTGGTTAAGGACCCAATGATAGCATGGGCCAAAAATATCGGACAAACCATAAATCTGAATGAGTGGGACCCGATTTGGAATAAGAATCTCAAAATGACCAGAGCAACAATTTACAAGGAAAATCAATATAAGATGGTTTATAGGTGGCACTTAGCACCAGCCAGGATTGCCAAAATTTACCCAAACACGAGTCCAAACTGTTGGAAGTGTGGCCACCAGCAAGGTACCTATTATCATTGTTGGTGGACCTGTCCACAAGCTAAAGAATTTTGGAGGATGATTTGTAAATGGGTGTCGGAAATAATAGGAGATACCATTGAATTAGAACCAAAAATATTTCTCCTGGGAATCTTGAAGACAGAATTTGCAAGAAAGAAGAAGTATCTTATCACACATAAAATAACAGCAGCAAGAATCTCCTACGCTCAACATTGGAAAGAGAAAAAGTTGCCATCCAAAGAGCATTTAATTAGGAAAATAATGGAATGTGCCGAAATGAACAAGCTGACGTTAGAAATTAATGATAGAGAGGAAACTGACTACTATAGCGTGTGGGATATGTGGTATGAGTGGTTAGAGAAAAGAAAATTGAAGTGAAGACGGAGAGAGCTAAAGTTCAATTTGATGATTAACTAAATGAGTATATTGAAAGGAGTCGTACTACCGGTAGTATGAAATAAAATGGAGTAAGGATGCAAGTTTATGTAAATAAAATGTAACAATAGGTATTAAGGATAACATAAGTAAGAAATCCTACGGGCAGTACCTTTTAAATTAAGATAACGAGGCTATACCATGTAAATAATAAGCAAATATTATGTATGTGTATATGTATGTGTATATCAACACCATGAAACCGGAAAGGTGGAATTGTACTATAATTCTTTAACAAAATAATAATAATAAAAAAAATGGTTGAGACCCACTATGCAGCTCACTGCTCTCGCTACAAATAGCACTACCAGATCTGAACCACAGCATCTAGAAACTTTCTGCTGCCATCTAGTGACCGT